TCTCTCTCTCTCTCTCTCTCTCTCTCTCTCTCTCTCTCTGTGTGTGTGTGTGTGTGTGTGTGTGTGCCGTAGTAGTAGTAGCTGAGTCAGCCACTGCTTCCACTTGCCCCAGGTTCTCATTCAGCCACTGTTTCCACTTGGCCCAACTTTTTTATCCTTTCTTAGACTTTCTTTATTATTCTCTTGTTTATCACACCGACTTTGACTAAAATATGCACATTCGGTTTGGCGCGAATATTTTTCATGGGCCAAAGCCGCCAAACCTAATTTTGTTGATTTTTCAAACCACCAGTACCTTTCCCATACATCGGCTGCGGACGAGGCCCTGCAAGTTTCAGACACCAGTAACGCAGGAACGTAGCACTGATTAAGGGCGAGATCCCACTGGAAAAAACGATTGGAATAAGTGTCTGAATCTTGACATGTTTGTGGAGAGGTGCAAAAAACTGTAATTTATCTGCTTTTCTGCATCTCTGAGTGGAACAAGTCCTGATGCAGACTTATTCCAATCCTCTTTGCTAGTGGGATCTGGCCCTAAACCAGCAGTACTTTTGACCCTTCCCTTGCCGAGCCTCAGAATGCACTTCACGCCAAACGAAAACGAACTGGTGCGGGCCTTCTTGTGGCCAGCGCAGCCAGCCATTTTGCTCCGCTGGGCTGACCTCCCAAACTTGCGGCTGCGTCCATGCGCGTTTGGAGGGAAAAACAAAAAAAAAAAGATGGCGAACGTACTGGTGGTTTTAACTTTAAATTTTAAATCACCAGCAGGCGTACCCAGGTGAATATTTTAGTGACTGCCTTGGGAAATTCATTCGTAAACGAGCGCCGTCATGGGGGCTCATTAGACACTCCTCGGGCACGTAAATCCCCTAAGGAAAATTTCATTCCCCCTATCCTCGGGGATGAAAACGGAAAAAAAAGTGATAACATTTCCTTGGGGAATCCTCGGGGCGTCCTCAGGCTACAGCCATTTGGTGGCATTCCCCAACGGACCTCCCGAGGTCCCTTGGAGGTCAAGGATCCGCGATAATCGGAGCGGCGAGGGCACCCGTCGTCGGCATGAAATTTCGTCGGCTGGTCCATTGGAGTTCCTACCGGGCAGCGCACGGACATCTTGGGTCTTCAATGTTCAGCTTCTAGGAACCTTACGCCCATGGTAACCGTTTGTGGCCAGCCGGCCCCCGCGGACGTTGTCGACCAGTGTTCTCCCTCGCATGTTTGCCGCCAAACAGGGTCGAATGGTCGGCAAATTTGAATACTTCAGCCGACCCCCTTGCTCTGATCGCCAACTGTATTCCGCGCCAAAAAATGGTACAAGGCGTTTGTCCCATACTGCGGTCTGCGGTTTGCAGCCCTCTTCGTTGGTGTTTGCCAGAGGTGTACCGTCGTCGTCTAGCTACAGCCCTTCCCCACTTGCCTTTCATGGCCTACGTCTTTCAAAGGCTTCCGCTGCTGCTCTGGGTCATCCTTTTGCTTGTCCTTGTCGTCGTCTTCTCCCACGTCTCCATCCTCGGCAAGGTGCCTGGACGTACACGTCAGAGGTGGTCTTCGAAGAAGGACGTCAGCATGGACGGGGGGGCAGGCGAAGAGCAGGTCTTCAGTGGACCACTCCAGAAGCCACCGCGCAGGCCACGGCCCGGCTCGCAGTGCAAGGGCGTACGACCCGTTAGAGTGCGTGTACCGTATGCTGTCCTCTACCATTTGCTCCCTTCATCGCCGCCGTTTGGTGGACCTTCACCGTTGTCGTAGAATTACGGCCCTGTCGAACGTGTTGTTGATTGGCGACCTTTATTGAAGGTTGCCACTGCTACTCCTAGTCACAATTTTGCTTGTCATGGTCCTCCTGATCCACGTGTGCTTCCTCTATCGTTGATGGCCGACCTCTATCGAAGGTCTCCATCAAAGAAGAGGAGGGGTCGACACCGACTGCAGTCCGCATCGACATCGGCAGCGCATCCCACGGACGTTCGTCCACACTGGATGCAATGGCCGTTGCCCGAAAGACACGTGGCGACATACGCAGCTGCTCCCAGAAGTACTCCTCCATCGCATCATCGCATTGCATGACATCCTCCCACGCCCCCCCTGTCCTCCTTTTCATCCTCCACCTTGGTGTCGCTCGTGGAAGAACACTGCAACCCATGGCGCAGCCAACCTGAACTGCAGCTTCGGTGATGGCCACGGTATCCAGCACGTCGACCGGGACTTGATGAAGTGTCTTCCTCCTCCGTGCGCGGATCTGCGCTCTCATTCTGCCCAATGCCCTCTACGAAAGAGCACGGCCGTCACAGCCGCTGCCATGGCCACCGCCATGGCCGTCTTCTCGATTGTCGTCAACTTCGCATGTCCGTCATCGGTGCCGCCCTCCATCGGCACGTGTGTTGCAATGCTCATGAACCACGAAAATACAACAGCCTACCAACTCGCCACCACCACGGTAACCTCAGCGCCAAGTCTCCGACGGCGTTCCCGGCATGTGCTCGACTCAACACATAGGCGCGGCGGCATGCTGAGGCGATGGCGATGGACCTTCGCAGGGCGCTCACAAATTCGTGACGACGTACGAGGACTCCACTGCACCGCTGCAAATGCCCGTTTTCGCCGTCGCAGATATGGATGCCACCTGCCCCGCGTCGACGTCGGGATGTTTAGCACCCAATTTGAAATTTGATTTTTGAACGGGGAGGTCATTGATTCTTAAGGTTTTTTTTTTTCCCCGGTTGCGAGCGCCTTTCAAAATTTCCCGCTTTCGGCAGCTGGACCACACTGTAGCAAGAGGGACATCACCCAATGGACCAAGGCATTGCCCCCCCCCTGCGGCTGACTATAATGTTATGAAAATGGCCACCGGCGGCCGAAAGGAATCATCCTTAGGAGACCACCCCAAGGATAGGTGGAACGACGGCGTGAATTTCCTTCAAAACCCCCAAGGAAACTTCCTTCGGCCCCGAGGATGCCCCAAGGAGTGTCTAACGAGCCCCATGGAGTGGATGGGGAAGGATATACTGTGGTTGGTAGAAAATAAAAATAAGGGGGAAACGGGTAGTAAAGGGGACTATGGGAAATATGGGTATCGGTTGAAGACGTGGCAAAGTAAGGGTCTGGTCCCACCACTACAGTACAGCCCAGGTACAGTGTAGTTCCAAGATCCCACGACTTTCCGACGTTGTCGCAGCCACCAAAATATTTTGCGTGCGTTTCATTTGGGTGTGTCGTGGCAGCACGTCCGCAAAGGGCTGGAATGTAGGTACTACAACTTTCGTGTAGACTGTGAGGGCTTCACGGCGTTGAAAAAGAGGGAGCAATTTTGTTTGCTTTTTTCATATTTTTCGCTTGTCCGTTTGTAGAGGTTGGAATGTTCGAGGTCCGTGAACCTGGGGCCACCCGTGCCACAAAACCTTCCACCTGGAACTGGCGCCCATAAAGAGTCGCTGCAGGTCGAGAAAGACCACCAAAGAACTCGGCGATGTGGGATCCAATTTCTCTTTTTCACCCCGCCTATAAAAAAATTAAAAAAAATAAAAAACGGTGGCTGACATCGTCGTAGTACTTTTTCACCACTACATTGCCAGTGTAGTGGTGGGATCAGACCCTAAAGCTACGACGAGCTTTTCCGAGAAATCTTAGAAATTCCAGAATTACGGGCGGATACAGAAAAATGGAAAAGAGGCCCAGACTCCGAACAGATTTCTGACGGAAATGTTTGTCGTTAGTCAAAGCCGCTGTGAATATCCACGGACTTTCCCAGATTTTCTCAGATTTTCTCAGATCTCTTAGACTTCTGACGGAGAAAAAGAGCTTTTCGGTGCGTGTCAGAGACGGTTTTGCTTTTGCCTACGTTTCGATTTAACACGGAATTTCCTTGGAATTCTTACGGATCTCTGACAGATACTTTATCAGAGGAGATTAGGATTCCCGACGAAGTTCAAGGATGCAATACCTTCGAGAAGTAGACGACAGACAAAACGTTTGACAAAGGGGAAGGAGATTTCTGAGAGAGATTTTCAGGAACGGATTTTGCAAGGGAGTAGGAAGTGTGAGCTCCTGAAGGGGTTCCGGTATATAGTTGCTAGCTCTTCCTTTCCTTACACTCGGAGTTGTTGTGCCCTCCTGACGAGGCTGGAAACTGTCTCCAACCGAAACCGGTAGAGGGAAGTACGTCTACGATCGCCGCCCGAAAGGGGGCGGGTGTTGACCACCATAGCGGGGCTATGGTGATTGTTTCTCTTCTTGCGTTTTCTTCTGCCACCATTTGAAGAGAAAAATTATGAGTTCAATATAGTCAGCGTTCTGCTTTGCAACGTGCATATGTTCGCGTTAGGGCTGAGTTCGGCAACACGCTGTCATCAGCCTCGCTCTCATTCCAATCCAAAGCGCTTCTGAGGCAGTTTTCTTTGGGGTTGGAAACGCCCTGCACACCAGAAAAAAAAAACGAACCGGCACGGGCCTCATTTTGGCTGGCGCCGCCAGCCATTGTGTGCCCCGGAGCCCGAGCCCGGAAAGTTGTGGCTACATGCAAGCCGCATATATTTTATTGTTTGGTTGGGAAACGTACCGGTGGTCTAGCCAGTGTGCTCGCCCATTACCGAACACATGATTTGTCTTTGTTGGTCCTTGGCCGTCATCAATATTCCTATCACACCCACTTATGAAATTTTCAAACGCTTTGGTGATTGATATGCCAGGCACTTGCCACCTGTATAATTATTTGCAGTTTGCAATGACCTTGCAGTGTTTGACGATACAACTATGTTACCAGTTGTCCGATGACAGGACGTCCTGGCCGGAGTTCCTGGCCGGGCAGTCAGGGAGGGTCCCGGACGTTGGGGCCAGGGAAAATGATGATGTTGCTTGTAAAACGTTTATAAAATTATTAGTATAATATAAATAAATGTAAATGCCTCTGAAATCGGCAGAAAAAATTGACAGGAAGCAAGTGCGTGTCCCTGCCTGCAAGTGCACATTTGCCGTATATGTGCGGTCAGTGGCTGAATTGGTGGTCCCCACGCACGCTCCTGCAAAAAGCGCACTGCCACTCTCTTGCATGGCGAGGCTACAGCGTTGTGTATACACATGTTGGTGCAGGTTAAGGGATAGAGGTGCAGCCTCTACATGCTGTGCAGTGTGCACCATACTGTCATCGCAAGAGGAGAGAGGAAGACAAACTGTTTTTTTTAGTCATAAATATAGTAATCTAGTGCATCAATGATTTGGCTGTACTGCAGCCAATTTATTATTAGTAGTAGTCATAGGAGGAGGAGGGGAGGAGAGAAACATCGCGATAAGGTGGTTGTAGGTCATGGTTGCAGCGGGAAGAGGAGGAAGAGGATAGTAGTAGTAATATGAGAAGGAAGAGGAGTATGAGAAGGACGAGGAGGAGGAGGAGGAGGAGGAGGTGGGAGCGGCGGTGGAAGAGGAGTATGCGAAGGAAAAGGAGGAGGAGGAGGAGGAGGTGGCGGCGGCGGCAGCGGAAGAGGAGGGCAAGGAGAAGGAGGAGGAGGAGGAGAAGGAGGAAGAGGAGGAAGAGGAGGAGGAGGTGGCAATAGCAGTAGGAGGAGGAGGAGGAAGCATGGAAGAGGAGGAGGAGGAGGACAAGGAGGAGGAAGAGGAGGAAGAGGAGGAGATGGCGGCGGTGGAAGAGGAGGAGAAGAGGACGAGGAGGAAGCATCACAGCAAGGTATAGCAATCGTTGATTGGAGTCTGTATTCCAACTGTGCTGCATGGCAAGATGATGTATCGATTCTTGGACCTCTCTCTCTCTCTCTCTCCACCGCTCTCTGATGAGTCGCTGAAAGTCTGACGAAACAGTCTGGAACACTCATGCTTTTTTTTGGAGTTGTGTATAGCGAATATGACAACAATCTCACATACACACAGAGGTCTGTATTCCCCTGTACGCATTCCACGCTAACCCTCTCCCTTTACTCTGCCTCCCTTTTCATAGCGTGCAAGTGGGCGGTTATGGCACACGGGACGTGGACAGGTTGCGCTCAACCACATCAGTGTGGCGAGCCAAAAGAAGAAACAAAAGAGAGAACACCACAAAAAAAGCCGAAGTAAATAAAGAGAAGAAAGAATTCCACAGGGAAAGGAAAAGCACCGGTTTTAGTGCGCTTCATGTCGTCTGCTTTTTTGTCTTTTTATTTGTTTGCTTCGCAAAAAGTGCGCTCCTTTAGTTGACAGTTATGCGGGCTCTATATAACTCTTTTTTCTTTTTTTTTAACTACAGTTACTACACTATGTTCTTTGTTTTTGTAGTGAAAGGCAAAAAGAATATGAGTTAAGAACATAGTGTAGCTCTATATAACTCAATAGATAGAAGATTGTAAGGTAAAAAAATGGTAAATCTGTTTCAATTTGGGATGTACTCATCTTGGTGGAGAAGGGGTTGTCATGGTGGATGTCTTAAGACACAGGCAGCCATGGCTGCTGTCGTCCTCCGAGCATAAGACATACGGGTTCTGAACGAATAGATGGGTTAGGTTCCATTCTATTTGTTTAAAATTTCAAATCACATATTAATGTGATATTATGCATTTCTATTTGCGTTCGCAGCCGTAGTTGTTATGATAATAACCAGGGATGGAGATCTCGGTAGAGAAGGCTCAGTTCTGATTTTTCCCGTGTTGGCCTCTTGAATT